ATTGGTTGAACGTAAAAAAGTTATTTATAAAAAATGAAGAAAAATTAATGTTAAAATTGAATGTTTACAACAAAAAAACCGCAGGTTAATTTAAATGCTTCTTATGAAAATAAAAAAAAAAAAAAAAAAAAAACAAGAAAGATAGAAAAAAGAATTCTTAATCAAAGCATGATAAGTATTAAAAAGTGGAGAAAAAAAACAAACAAACATAATCAAATAAAAAAGAGAAAACGAACGAATTACGTCGTCTCTTTCTTCAAACGAAATATTCATTTAATTCCAATAACCTTTATAACAACACGAGCATACGTATCAAGTCAGAACAATAAAAAAGAATCTGCATAACTTGTAAACTCGTGACAGTAAGCCCGCTTTATCAAAATTCTCATCAACCACAAAAGACACCTAATTATAAACGTATATATAATTCACAAGAAGAGTATATCTCTGCTAAAGCAGTAAATAAGCAAGAATTAAAATAAGGCGCGCTATTGTAAACGACAAGATACAATAATAACGTGAGATTATTCCAAGTCCATAAGCGGTCCATAAGCGAGCGCGTGTTCCAAATTAAAATTTAATGGAAAAATAACGATCGACGCACTTTCGTCGCCTGCGCCTGGTAATGCCGAATCATTCGACAAATACCCGTGAATGCTTCAAGTGCTAATTAACGAGCGGCTAAGAAAATGTCGTGCTTCAGGGATGGCGCATTAAATAATGAAGTATCGAAGGTGCTGATATCCAATCAGGGGCTTCGGAGTGATGCGCGCGCAGATGAGAATCTTACGAGTTGGCTGTTAAAGTTGGTCGGGATTCTTAAGAAAGTCATTTTTCACGGCGGCAAGGCCCGAACGCCGCCACGGAGATCGGCAGCACACAGGACGTCGGATGGAGTGCGAGCGAGAGGGACGAACCGGTCCCGGTGTGCCGTCCTCCCGGAGATTAGCCCGAGGGGCCGATGTGGCACATGTGCATCGTCGCGGACTCCCGGAGTCGCCTGGAGCGGGAGGGAAGTCTTCTCGCGGCTGATCTCCGTTTTTCTCCTCTTTCTGTTTCGCTGTCCCCTTACAAGTTCCCCTCCCCACGCGCTCGTCACCCCAATCCGGCTCTGTCGCATTATTTTGAGGGAGAGTGGAGCGAAAAGAGCCAAGTGCACTTTGAGCGTGAAATTGGATGAAGCCGAAGTGTTACTTTGAATTGGCGGTGACGATAACGCGAATGTTTATTCGAGACTTCCATTCATGGAAGGCTTTCTCGATGCGTTAAGAGTGGGAATTTCGAGTATGATTATTTCAAATTGATTTGCATGAAATTGGTGTTTTATATGAATAAGGGGACGGGGTGGTGGTGAAAGGAGGGGGTAGAGAAGTGAAAATTTGATGTTACATATTGCTTCTTAGGAATAGCTTGAGAAACATTGGCTCTTATATGAAGAACGTATTGAAAATTAATTAAAATTATTAGTTTATACGCAATTAGAAATATTTATATATTATTAAGCTGTTGTTTAATATTTTTAAAATACCCGCTTTTATTGGTAATACGGATCAAGCTGATGTGTCTTTGTCGATTGAATTTCGTGAAAACGCTATTTATCGAGATGACCAAGTAATTTATGAAAATTGTAAAAAATTCTATAACTGCGATGTATTTGTATCGTTAAAGTTTACTTACATACCATTTGAACGATCTTCTTCATTATTATAAATAATAATTATTATTAATAACAATTAATAGGTGAGCGTAAAAATTAATTTATCCGATGCTTGATATTGATTGTTTTCTATAAATCTGCGACTAGTGTATCAAAACTTATTTCATTAAAAAAGAAATCGAGATATGATATAATTTCAAATTTAATTTAAAACTAAATCTTGTCATACATATTTCCTCTCTCAAAACAACCAGTATATATCAATATATTATGATTCTCGTGATATGATTCGAAGTGTCAATGTGCGCGTGAGTAAATGAGAGTCGGGCGTCAGAACACGCAGAGACAATCTCAAAACACATTTACATTCAAACATATACATACATAAACGCGAGAAATGATAAAAGAAGAAAAAATTAAAAAACTACGTAGCTCAAAGAGTTTGCATGATGGACAAGGCAGAGACATTAAGAAACAGAATGAGTAACTGAATAAGATAGATAGAGATAGGGAGAGTGAGAGGGAGGGATCGAGAGAGATAGAGATAGAGAGAGATAGAGAGAGAGAGAGAGAGAGAGAGAAGAGAGAATGAAAGCAACTATACACAAGCAAAGAGGACAAAAGGTTGGAAGATACTTTGCAATACACAGGGTCTCACTCACTTCTCTTTCCCTCTTTTCTCTCTTTCTTTCTTGCTCTCTCTCTCTCTCTCTCTCGCTCTCTCTTTGTCTTTCTCAATCTCTTTCCCGCTCTTGTGCATATTGGCTTGGCGAAACACGTTCCGGAATCTCGGGGAGGGATCGCGCGTCGCATCCAATTTGTTATTACGCTCGGTTACGCATCAGGCATAGCGATATGCGCTGGGCTCGCACGCGGCTGTTTGCCACATATAGTGGAAGCGAAAAGGCGAAAAGCAGACGAAAAAGAGAGAGATAGAGTGAGAGAAAGTAGAAAAAAGAGTATGCGCGAGGGAGTGAGAATGGTAGAGATATAGATAAAAGGATCGAGAGGCTCGACGAAACGATCGATAACGGCGAGATGATCGATGCCCCCAAGGTGCCGTACACACGACTGGATGCGCTTCGTTGTGACATGAATACACATGAAGACGACATTTGCGTAGTATCGTGATCTGAAGATGCTCTGATTTATCAAAGCTTTTTTCACAACTTTCCGAAAAAATGGACAATAGCGCGTGTTCGTCTCATTTAAATTTTAAAGGACAAGTCTGCATCGTTTGTAGAATAGGCATGCAGTTAGTCTAAAAGGCTATTTCGTTTAATGTGTTAAATGTATATTTATTTACTGCCAAATTGGTTAGGAAAAACTTCTTTTTACAATTGTAAAATTTTACTATATTTAATAATCATCCAATTACGTTTTATAAAATTCTGTTATAATATATGTCTGTATTTATATAGCATATGCTTATCTTACAAATCAAAAGCCAATTAATTAATGATTTAAGAATTTCAGTATTTTATAGTAATAAAATAATTCTATAATATTAAAATATATTATAATATTGTATACTATGGTTAAACGAATGTAATAAGCAACTAGTTTAAAATGATTTTATTCGCAAGGAAGAGTAAACACTGTACAGAGACTCTATTTACCCACACATACATATATCTGCTATATAATAAGTAGTAACATTATGCACAGATATCAGTGCGAAATTCAACATACAAGTACTTCAACACTTTTGTTACTATAAGACAATAACAACTACTAAATTTTCAACCTATGGGTCCTAATTTTTACCCCTGGACATTCTATTTTACATTCTAATTTTACATCTGAAAATATTATTGCTCATTTTTATCTCACGATCTCACGCGACAATAGTGCCCGGCAATGTGCTCGACGAAATGTATGTTTGGTATAATTTTACTTTCGCTGAACAATCCCGACTCTTACACAACTTTAAATCAGGTCCAAGCCAGAAAATCAACAGTGCGAGAAGTCGAAACATTCCTCCAATAATAAATAATCTTATTAATCACAATTACCGCCGGTAATCGTGTACGGACGAAAATGCGCCTATTAAGCCCTTGGCATCACCCTCGTTTGGAACGAACCCACAACTCCGCGGAAATTTAGCTATTCGTATAAACTCAGTGCGCTGCGGTCTGCTCGACGTGATTGCCATATATACACGCAGCCACGCACACCGTTACGTTGTTGCATAACCACCAAGCCAGAATAGTCCACTCTACCCAACCCTTATCCAACCGATCGAGCAGACTCGCTTTGGTTTGTGGACTTAAGAAAAATCGCTTAATTCGGCCATTAGGCTGCGACTGCGATTGTACCAGCAACCAGGTGATGAGCGGCAAATTATTGAATCCCGATGTGGGAGACGCGACCTCAGTTTCGTCCCGCGACCCTTGACCCTTGAGCTCTGAGGCACGACGCGTGTGATGATGCAAATGCACGAATGGCTGTCACTTTGCCGCGCTGTCTTCGTCTTTGACTGCGAATAGTACAAATAGCCCGTGTGAGGATATTTTAAGTGACCGAGTGTTGCATGGATTTTAGCAGTGATTTTAATTTCTTACGATGGCTACGTTTGTCTTTTTGGCGGACTTTTTGGCCGTATTAACCTGGATTTAGAGCTTAGAATTGACAATTTTTCGGATAATTTGTATAGTCGTAAAAAGTAATGTGGAACTTTTTGCAATGCACACGTGACTATTATTAGATGAAAGAGGCCGAAAAATATTAGAATTTTGCTAAGAGACTAAACGAGGCGATTGTTGGCGAAAAATAATAACCAAAGCTCAAGTGATATTTCGAGAATGTACGATTGATAATCCAATATAGTTTTTAACTTTTATGCAAAAGCAAGACATATAAAAATATGTAACTAGTTGAACGAACTACTTTTCTCTCTTTTTATTGGTCATAAACGTTGAACTATGAAATAATTCTGAATGATTGTTTAAATGTTAAATTTATTACTAATCAATTACGAAATAAATAATTAAATAAATCAATATATAAATTTAAAATTAAATTGCAAAATGTAGCTATATTTATAATTAAAGTTCTAACGATGTAATCATTATATCGAGCCATTATATTTAATTGTAAACAAACTATTGATTACATTTTAGATTCTATAAATAATAATTACGTGATAATCAAGTAAATTTTGTATTATTTTATTAATTGTATTATTTTTCGATAATTTAAATGAGAGAATTGATTTTCTTCCTAATTGGATTTTTCGTACACTGTTTTAATATTTTTTAAATTAACATTTAAGATGTATCAAAATTTGAAGCTCCTCGACTTTCGCGTTCATTGACAATAAGAGGATTTTGGTAAAACTTACATTTACTTTGGCGAGATACATTTCCAGCTCCATGTAAGGATCCATTTCTACACGAATTTTTTCACTGGTTACTTCTTCATGTTTATCACCATTTTCAACAATTTTTAATGGTTTTACAATATCTTTACTTTTCGAAAAAGTCAACATAATGCTCCCTTTTGTTTTGCCGTGTATTCGCGTGGGACCGCTGCCGTTGCAAATAGCTTCCATATTTTCACATCACTGAAACACTTTTTGCATTTTCACCAATTGTCCTGAAATATATAACAGTTTCATTTTAAAATATTGTAATAAATATTGTTTAAATAATACTGAATCTCTTTATCAAAATGTTTTAGAAAATTTCAAAATTATCGATGAAATCCTGGCTTTCGATAAAGAAAATTAAAAAAAAAAAATAACCCAAACGTAATTATATACTAAATTAATAAATCATATGGATGAAATAATAAGTACATATATTTTATTCAATTATTTTTATTATTTTCAAGTAAATTTATTCAATTTATTAGAATTTTATCTCAATATGATATAAGTATTTCATTACAAATAATTAGGATTATAAAAAAAGAATATTGTAGTCCATTTATAATAATAATGCTTATGACATTTGCTAACAATTTATTTCTTACGCCTAATGTTACATTAACTTAACCGCCACGTATATTATAAAAAAAAAAAAAATCAGTTTATCAATTACTCTATAGTTATGAGTCAAATTGAAAACTACTCTAATCTTGCATAAAACCATCCTTCTGAAAGTCATGTTTCACACCATCTATAGTGGCATTTTCTTTATTCGTCAAAAAATATATTGTCATGTCTGAAAATTGTACGCGTGCTTGAACTGACAATCCCAAAAACTTCCCCATGTCTGTTGGTCACATATAAGGAACTGCGATCCTGACATGTTGACCAGATTTTTCCCCAGACTCTTTGATCTCGACTAGTCGCGGATCCCATTGGCGCGATAATTTATATCGCAATGTGTCTGCTGCACAAGAGCAGCAAAACGAGCAAAAACAAACCTCGAGACTCGGTGTGCACCAACTTCCAACGTTACGTCGACGATGAGCTACTCAACTATAACCGACAAAACCGTAGGTTATAATTAACGGCGACGCACCCATGGTTTTACTTAACTTTTTCTTTCATTTGCCCAAAGAGTTTCCAAAACGCAAAACTCTGACTTTGGAGTGTTTTTTTGTTTTGAGAATCACAATAGGATTTAGTATTATATTTAATTCGAGGTCTTATTGAAATGTCTTAATACGGATTATATGGGCTAAAAATGTAAAAATGTTAAAAATATTAGGACATAATATTAATACCTTTTTTTATTAAATGTCTTTTATTGAACATAGAAATAGTTATATTATTTCAAGTTTCGATGTGGTGATTAAAATTTAAGTATTTACATATATTTTATATATATATATATATTTTTTTTTAAATACTTAGTATGGTACACGATTCGTTGATTTTTTTTTTTTTTTTTTTTAAGAAAACACAAGCTGTATTGATTTAATAGAAATATAAATTTACAAATGCAATTAAAGGCGCTATACGTCAGTAACATTAGAGTCTTTTCATTGAATAAAAATTTCGATTTGCTCCTTTGCAGAACATTATTACAAGATCATAATAGATACGTACAATTTTAAAGTATTGTACAAAATAAATATAATTAAGAACATAAAATGGCCTTCAGTTTTTTTTACTAAATTTTTTCAAAATTATTATTATAAATACACAGATAAATTATTTAATATATTTTCAATAAATTGAGCATATTAGATTGTATATGCCAAACGTAATTCAATAAATAAAATTGCTACTATCTTTTAAATGTATATCCTATAAAATATGTAAGAAAATATAATTTTACTATGATTAGAAAAAAAAGACATTTTATATTATCTAACTTTGCGGCAAGTGAATTCATTCTGAATTAATTTTAATAATATTATAATACGATATATTGAAGCGTTATTGAATGAAAACACAAAAACTCACTAATATTATTCGTTGACATATTTTATGCACGTCAATATGTTATTTTGCTTCGAGTACTCCAATAAAACAAAATACAAAGTACTTATGTTATAATAACTTTAAGCTAATTTTAGAAACTCATGCTTGAGTCACGAGGGTTAATTATGTTCACTTAAATTATCTCCTCTCTTACGACGAAAACTTCGCGTATCATATACGACTGCGTCGCTTTCATTTGTTCTGTTAATTCAGCCGTTTGCACTACAAAAAGTTGTAACTATCTACATTGTTTCCCTGCTATCGCTCATTAATTTTATACTTATATAAAACGGGTTTTTTTTTTTTTTTTTAATGCAAATGGAATATTGCCATGGTTGGTGAATTAATAAGTATTGATTATTATTTATAGACAAAAAATAGGATAAGAAAATAGTTGAATTAAGGCCAAGTGTATTATATGGTAGATAAAAAGACGAGAAAAATAGAATAGAAATTAAATTATATTATTTCTATCGAATTGATTAAAGTTAATAAATTTACAAAATATATACTAACTTTTATAGTAATTATTACAAATTAATTTAATGTCAAAATTATCCGTATTCAAGTATATTTAAACATGAAAACATATCTAAAAATATAATTGATCTATACTTATACTACAGTACGTCCTTATCAATTTTACATAATTATGACGTAGCAAGTATTAATTAGCTGAAAAAAAAAGAAAAAGAAAAAAGTACATAAACGTTGATATAATGTAGATCGTTTGTTTTCATTTCTAAAAAAATACTTACTAATCAGTATAATATAATTAAATAACACAATATTACGATATTAAAATAATATTCATATATTCTTGTTATATAAAATAAGTATACATATATATATATATATACGCGTGTGTATTATAATATCTATATACGTGTATGCTGAAGCGTACACGCACACGTGTGCAATTGCTCATGTTTATTTGCACTTTCATAATTGTGTGAACGTACTATATGAGTTCATACCCACATGCTTATTTGTGTAATCGATATAAAATAAAGAAATATATTTCAATATAATTAATAATATTAGAAAATAACTGTTTCTAATGATGTATGGCTTAAATATGAAGATATGAGTGTCTTACATTTTGCATAATATTCAGAAGCAATTACAAAGCTGATTTTAATCTACAAGAACTCATTGACTTCAAATATATATTTTCTGCTACATTGCTTTTATTATAATATTAATTGGCGAATTAAATTTTATAGACAAATATAGCACAAACACAATTCACTTTCTTTATATAAATCTTTTTCTATTTATAATGTACAGGAATAAAGTAGATATATAAAGTAGATATCGAAATTTATTTATTTTATGAAGGCTTGGATAAACAGAGACCTGTATCAATTAAAAAAATTCTTTTTATAAAACAAATATGAGTATTTATTGCATAATGCATGAAAGATCAGGATAAATCTTGCCTTTTTCTTAATTAGACTTGTTTCAATGTTGCAAAATCATTCGATCCATAAGGAATAATTTTAATTCTATCTATTGCGTAATTGTATGATTTCTCTCTACATAAATTTTAACTCGCTAATTTGTATTGGCTTAACGTACATAGAATAAAGTTTTTAACACTATTGTAATTCAGCATATGTACGGTTTTTCAAAGTGATAACACGAATAATAACGCTTTTTAAATACATTAAGATTAGAAATATATATTTGTTTAATGAACTGTGGAGCTAATTCTATCGAGTTCATAGGTCGCTAATTACTAACTAATCCTAATTACCGACTGCAACAATAAACATACTACTCTCTATTTTCAATACTAAATAGTAAATTTAATTTATAATGTTTATTGCACGGCCATGATAGAGTTTTTTGCGTTTTAAATGCATTATCACATGTGCGTATCATAAATTTTAGTTATCATACATCAAGGTAGTTTTAACTGAAATAATTACATTATTAATCAGCCTTTTTTTACCTTTTTTATCACTCAATCGAAATAGAAGTCGCTTAAAGCAAGTTACACGTAGCCGCTCGTTATATTTTATTTCTTGGGCGATTTCGTTTCAGTATCATTAGTCATCGGATAATAATATTATTCCCCCAATTACTTAATTACCTTAGAATTATTTCACGGAAATGATAACGTACAGCAACCATATAGAAATTTAAAAAATTCTGATTATATCTTGGCGTGAAAAATATTGTAAATTGTTATATGAAATCGTATTTTAAAGAAAACCTTTATGGCCATTAGTGAGCTATTAATCCAAAGGCTTATTTATAGAATATCTAATAACGACAAGGAAAAATATTTATAAAATTTTTATTTTATTATAACATCTCTGCGCATTTATTGAACAAATCATTTAATCACCATCAGATCCCCGCACAGCATCTGCAAAAAAATTATCCTCGGTAATTACGCCACACGCTCGACTTTTAACCTCTTAACCCCACTTAATCCGAAGCGAAAGCGGAGCGGAGCCGAGTGAAAAACATTCTTATCACACCCGCTCGATCCATCTCCCTTATCTGCAGAGTAAAAAATGCCCAACTTCCCATCGAGGTATACTGGACTGGAGCAAGGTTCCACCGAGAAAAACCCCATTAAATAAGGCGGTAGCGCACCACAACAACGTGTGATCGGTCTGCCCCGATATCATCGACGTGTTTACGAAGCGTTTCTGGCGCGTTATCGCACGACCTCTCTTCCGGTCTCGCGTCGGACAGAAAATTTCACGCCTGAGTTATGCAACTGCGAATTGACGGGCCAGGAGATAGTGGTGACTGGCCAGGCGAAAAGCGAAAAGAGCATGGAAAAACTTTTTGACCCGCACCGAAAGCTTTATGGACGCGTATTGTTTGTTGGCTTTGTATCCCTCCACGCACATGCAACCGGATTCTACGATAAGATTTTACTACACTGAAATCGCCCGATACTTGTCCTCTGCCGACTGATAGGCTGAAATTTAAGATGCCGATGTCGGTGGATTGGAATGATTAGTCGATGAGGGCTTTTGATCAAATGTAGATTTCTAAATGCAAATTAATTTTTCAATAATGACTGAAGTGTGATTATTGATTGATTGGACATAAGTTTACGAGTTATTTATGTATTATATATTGGTTATAATGTTCGTACTATCGTTTAATTAAATACCGATTTTATTTACTTTCTGATCTACTATTTATGAGCTTGAAATATAACATTTTTGTATCAAATTGCATATCATCTAAT